TTTTTGGATTGTCATCATCATCAACATCGGTCGTTCGTTTCTTTGGTTATTATGAAAGAAAGAAGGAAAAAAAATCATTTTGGATTGAAAAACAGTTTCATTTCATTTTGCTGGTAATGTCTTTTGGGCAATCATCATCATCATCGTCGTCTTGTAGTAGTCGTCGTAAATATCGTATGAGCATCCATTCATCCATTCATTCATTCATTCACATCAATTCAGTGTTTCATCAATATCTATCGTTTTCATCATTTTTACAAATACGATTGCGTATCAAAAAAATACACCCTTGTAGTCTTTTTTATTATTATCAAACTTCAAAGTTTTGATTCAAAATAAATAAATTTTCTCACACACAAAACGTTTCTTCTTTCTTATTTCTCCCGCCATACATCATACATCACACACACACACAAAATCAAACTTTCCTTCTTTCGTTCTTTTGATTTGATGAAATTGACATTAAATCAGTGAAAGAGAGAAAAGTGTTATGCAAAAAATCTCATTGATACATTTTTCATTTAATGTTTAAATTTCTATTGTCCTATTCTGCTCATTTGTTTGTTTGTTTTTCTGGTGAATAATGAAAAGATCAATTCATTCAAAAGAATATAACAGAAAAAAACTACTTGAAGAAAGAAAGAAAAATCATACTACTTTCCGGTTCAATAATTTTTTTCTTTATATTTAAATTGTCAATTCAAAAATATTTGTGAATAGTCAGTGTGTGTGTTTGCTTTTCGATTGTTCACTTTTTTTCAACAACAACAATCAACAATCGACAATAACAACAACAACAACTTTTTAAGTATCATCATCAAAATCGGTCAACGGCTTCAATAATACTCATTATTATTTACGATGTTGATGATTTTATCAGATTAAAAACAATCAACAACAAAAATGTCATCTAGGGTAAGTTTTTCTGTTGATTTTCAAATTTTTCCGTTTTTCAAACAAATAACAAAATAAAGATTCCTATTCAAGATCTGTGTGTTATTGTAATCGGTTTGAAGAAGCTTTTGTCTGGTCTCCCTATAGACAAACAAAATAAATCATAAACATTGTTGAAAACAAAAACAAACAAAAACAAAAATATATTTATGACATCAATTGGTTGTTGGTTGCTGTTGCTGTGAAAGTATGAAAGTATGATGACCATTACATCACATCATCCTTACACAAGTATCCCACGTGCAATAAGATGATGATGAAGAAGAAAAACCAAATTGACAAGTTCATTGTCAATGTCAAAATGTAACCAAAGAAAAACCAGAGAACAAAAATTTTTTTTTATCCATTTCAAATTGCGTGGTCGGCAATGACGACAATTAAACCCAAAAATACAAACAACCAACCAGAAATAAATATAAGGAAAAAAAACTACAACTTTAATGACCAAAAAACATTAGCCTAATTCCGGTACAAAACATACATGAATGCATTGAGCTTTCTCCCAATTTACTAAGAAAATTTTCTCTTTTTTTATTCTTAAATTCTGGTGATTGATCACGATATATATCTCTTGGTCTCGTTTTTTTTATTTATTTCGGCAATGCGCAATTTAAAAGCATCAATAAAAAATAAAATGAGAGGAAAACTTGGCCATTTGAAATGGCCAAGTGATGAAACATTGTTTTTTTCTTGGCCACTACAGTAATCTTGTTATTTTTAAAAAAATTTTTGCAATTCAAATTCTTTATTCTTTGATTCATTTTGCTGCCCACCCATATCACATAAGATTTATTATCGAAAGAATTTTCAAGTTTTTTTTTTGGTTGTTGAGAAAATGTAAAAGTTTCTTTTTCGTTTCGTTTAGTTTTGCTTTCTTTAACATTTCTTTTTCTTGTTTGTTGAACGATAAATGCCAAAAAGAAAGGAAAAAACTTTTTGTTGAAACATATCCATTACTCTTCTTAGCATTCATATTTTTTTTTGTGTGTGGTTGTTGTTGTTGTAAATTGCAACATTCATGCGATAACATTACGCAATCGATTGATTGACAGTAATGTAATGATTATGATTTTCTAACTAACTAACGATGATATCCACTATTGTAATCACCAATCATTATTAGCCATCTTTTCAATGAAAAAAAAACATGGTTATCAAATCTAATTTGATATAATTCGACAAAGGAAAAAAACATCATCACATCAGACCAGATCGAATGTATAAATTATCCGAATCAATAAACACACACCGTGAATGTGTGTTTATGGACAAATTCTTTTTCCTTCTTGATGTTTATGGTCATTTTTCTTAAAGATCTGTCAATTGATTCTCTTTTCTTTTGTTATTTGCTGACTGTGTTGGAAAAAAACCATATTATCCTCATCTTATTATACGACAATAACAGCAGAAGAATATTCTCTAGAACTGGATGGTTGTTTGGATCAAACCAACAAACAAACATAGAGAGACAAAAAAAAACTTGTATTTGTTAGAACCAGGAAAAAAGAAAAAACATTCAGCAGTAAAGTCGTCAATCATTCGTTAATCCATTTTATTATTTCATTTTCCAAAGAAAATGTTTTGTTTTTGCAAAATACAAAACAAAACAAAAACTTTTCTCTGATCTGATCAAATGCTCTCTCTCTCTCTCTCTCTCTCTCTTTGCTCTTAATCATTAACATTTTCATTGTCTGCACGTATGATGAATGAATGAATCTTTTGCCAAACAACATTACGATAATAGCATCATCATCATCATCAGCAACAGCAATTTACACTAATCAATAATAATAACCATCATCAACCTTAATGATGCGGATTCTGAGGCACCTCTCTTTCTCTCTTTATTTTGGTTTTTCTGTTAATTTGTTCGATTGGCAATTGTTTTTTGTTGGGTGATCACGTCTTTATTTGTTTGTTTGTTTGTTTGTCCCAAGTTGCCAGTTTTACACAAGAAAACAAATAAATAAACAGTAACTAAACTTTTTTTTGTTTTGTTTTTCCCTCAAACATCAATTCAATAATTCAAAATAACAAATTCTGGTTAAGAGTGAGAGAGAGAGAATAACTTTGAATTGACAATAATAAAATGAAATAACTTTTTCCTGTCTCGTCAAGAGATTTTCCTTTTTTTGTTTGTTTGTTTGGGCTGCAAAAGTTTCACAATAATTTTGAATTAGTCTAAATAGTGTATGTGTGTGATTAGTGAAAAGTAAAGTAAAGAAAAACAAAATCAAAACAAAGTAACAAAGTCATAATAATAATAATAATTGCGAATGATTTTTTGTTGTTTGTTTGTTTGAATCAAAAAATCAAATTTTGACAAGCAAGATGTTTCTTCTTCTTCTTCTTCTTCTTTAGTGATTCAGAGCATGAAAAAATGTCAGAAGAATAAGAAGTTGAAAATTTTTTTTGATTTTTCTGATAATTCATCTACCTCTACGGTGCCAAAATGTTAATAATATTATTAATGCCCCCCCCACGAAAAACAATGTTAGACACGTAAGACGGATTTTTTTTTCCCAAATTTTGTGGCTTCTATGAAATTAGATTTCATTTTGCTTGCTTCCACAATTATCAATGGAAGCGGAAGATCCACGAAAAAAAGAAAAAAAAAGTCCATTAATTTTTTTTCTACTTCGTCGTTATTAATATAATAATGTATTTTCGTTGGAAAAATTTAATTCAATTTTCAAAAAAACGAAACGAAAAAAATTAGGGTCAAAATTTTTTTTGCAGGTTTTCCGGTTAAAACAAAAAAAAAGTTTTTGATGTTGTTGTTTGATGAAATTAATAAACAACAACAACAACAATCAAACAAGAACAACAAACTGACCAAACTGGTCACTGGAAACTTTTTTTTTCGCTACCTTTTTCTCGCTATTTATGACAATCATTTTTTTTTTTTTTGGTTTTGTTGCCTGTCATCAAGTTTGACAAAAACAACAAACAAAAAAATTAATAATAACTAAATGATGGTCATGTTCATCAGTGTTGAGCTTGCATTTAATGAATGAATTAAGTGAAAATGTGAATATCATAAAATACATAATGTCAGTTTGTTTGTGTGTGTATGTGATTCTCAATGTCATTATACATTGAATTAAAGTTAGTAATGTGACCACTACACACATATATAAAACCATATATAAAATGATGATGCTAATTATCAACCAAAACAAAAAACAAAAAAACATTAACATTAACTGTTTTTTTTTTTTGGTTTCATTATTTATTACATTCAATTTACCCTATGGACTATCATTCATTTTTATTATAACATGAAAAAGGATATTGTTGATTTTATTTCTTTCGTTATATTGCAAAAAACATTGTTTCAAATTCATTGCAAAAAAAAATATGGATTTTGAATCAAAATCAAGTTATTGCATTTTTTGCCACGTTGTTGTTGTTGTTGTTGTTGTTGTTGTTATTTTTTGGTTAATTTGATTATTTCAAACAATGCCGGTTATATTGAATGTTTATTACCTAATCATTTTTTCCCCCACTTTGTTGTTTTTCCCCCATACCAAATTGGATCGAATTGTTGTTGTTGTTGAACTGATGTGATCCAAAAAAAAACAATCCACGATTGATAAAAATAATGATGATCCAGAAATAGAAACGCATGCGTTACGACCTATTCAACCGAACAAACAAGCAAAAAAAAAATCCGGTATATCAAAGACAGAATGTGTGTGTGTGTTGTACATTTTCCTGTGTGAATGTTCTCTCTATGTGTGTGTGAAACATGGCAATTCCGTTTGTTTTGTTTTGCTTGTTTGTGATGACCGACCGGTTGTTGCGTTTCAAATTTGGAAAATTTTTGAAATAGAAAAATTACTTGCTTTGAAAAACAATTAACAACATTCATTTTCTGTTTTTATCAAAAGGTTGCAATAACAACAATAAAAAAAATTACCTTAATGAATTTAGTTAGTTAGTTAGTTAATGATGTTTATTTTTTTATTGCTGGGGTTAATGATAATGATAATGATTTTTCTTCTTATTTTCTTTCTCTTCTTCATTCTTCATTAGATTCAATTAAATTGCATAATTTACATTTAGTAACAAAATTCACTACTAACAACCGACCAAATTACAATTATTATTGAATCAAAAATTAATATTAAAAAAAACGAATGAAATAATAAAAAAATGCCCGAACAAAGTAATGATTATCGTGTTGTTGTATTTGGTGCCGGTGGTGTTGGTAAATCTAGTCTTGTATTAAGATTTGTAAAAGGTAAATATTATTATTTTTGATTTTTATAATGTTTTTTTAATAAAAAAAAATTACAAAAATTATCAAATAGGAACATTCCGTGATGCCTACATACCAACAATTGAAGATACATATCGTCAAGTGATATCATCAAATAAAAATGTTTGCACATTACAAATAACTGATACAACTGGTTCACATCAATTTCCAGCCATGCAACGATTAAATATAACCAAAGGACATGCATTTATGCTTGTTTTTAGTGTTACATCAAAACAAAGTTTAGAAGAATTAAATCATATCTATCAGGAAATATTAGATACAAAACAAAATGATAATGATACTATACCATTAATATTAGTTGGTAATAAATGTGATGAAGAAAGTCAACGTGAAGTTACTGCTGATTATGCTCAAGAATATTGTTCCAAAATTTTAAAAGGTTCTGGTTATATTGAAACATCAGCTAAAACTGGTCATAATGTACATGAAGCATTTCAGGTATAAATTTTTCTTTTTTCTATCAAAATTCAATTTTTCATTTTGACTGATTGATTTTTTTTTCCATTTCTCCAACAGGAATTATTATCATTGGATAAAACAAGAAATATGTCATTAAGAATGGATCTAAAAAAGACAAGGTCACAGATAAGAAAAGAAAAACTTAAAGGTCATTGTATGATGATGTAGTAAAATGAATGCTACTGTGAATGATATGAATGTTTTAAAAACATCTTCCATAATTGTGATCATTATTAATGAACAAAAAAAAATCTTCATCAATCAATCAATCAATCAATCAAGGTATGTGTCAATCAATCAATCAATCAATGTCAAAATAAAACAATTAAATGAAATCATTTCTAAATGATTAACAAAAAAAAAATTCTGTTTTTTTTAACCCCTCCAAAAAAAAACCAAAACAGACTTTTTTCATTATTCATCCAGTTTGTACAGCCATTTTTTTCCTATTTTTTCACTATTCATTCATCCAGTATTGGTTTTTTCTTCTGGGGGACCAACAACAACAACAAAAAAGTGTTCAACAACAACAACAACAATCGGATATGATCCAAAATATCAAAACAAAATAGCAAAGATTTGGATACTTTTTGAAGAAAAAAAAAACAACAAAATCGACATAAGTGCACGCACATAAACACACACACAATCATTGAAATATTCATCATCATTATTATAATGGTGCTTGATTTTTGTTCTTTTTTCATTATAATAATAGAATTCTTTTTACCAAATTCAGTTTGATTGATTGATTGATTGGGTCATCATCTTCATCATTGTTTATCACCGTCATCATCATCACCGTCATCAATGGTTGAGATGGATGGAGCGAAAAAGAATTGTCGAACAAAAAACGATTTCTTCCAACTAATTCAAACAACCTACCCCCAAACATCTCTTAACCAACAACCAAAATACCATTATATTTTCATTATTATCATTTTTTTTTTTTGATTGACTCAAAATCAAATCTGTAGAAAGAATAATAATAATAATAATAATTACTGTTGTCGTTTTTTTTAATTAATTTAATTAATTAATTAATTAATTAATTAATGTTGCTGTTGTTGTTGTTATTGTAATTTTTCTTCGCCATTCATTCATTCAGTAAAACATCAATCAAAACAATCACACTAAAAAATCTCATTCAAATTACAAATTACACATTACACATTACATAATATTTGTGAATGAATATCTCTTTGTAATCTGTTTGTTACAAAAAAAAAGAAAAAGAAAATTGATTTTTATTATTATTATTAATAATTTCAGATTTTAATAATTTTTTTTTCTTCTGTTGTTTTCTGTAATCACTTTATAATCATCACTTTATTATTATTGTCGTAAAAAAATTGTTATTATTAAATAATAAAAAAAGAGAAAAAAGGGTAAATATTTATTTAATTATTTATTTACGATCAATAAATTGTAATTTTATTGGTCGATCAGGTAAATTTATTAATTTAGTTCGTTGTCCAATATTTAATTTTGGTGAACATTCAATACGAAATTGATAAATAATATTAGCTAATAAAATATTTAATTCTAATTCAGCAATACGACGACCTAAACACATTCTAGTACCATGACCAAATGGTATATAAAGATAACGACGATGTTGACGATTACGATTTGTTCCTAACCAACGATCCGGTTGATATTCATTTGGTTGACAATAATATTCCGGTAATTGACATGCAACTTGATTTTGTGTTATAATCATTGTATTTTTTGGTATATGATAACCATCAATAATCATATCATTTGTTGCTAAACGTCCAACACCAATCGATATTGGTCGTAATCGTAATGTTTCTTTTACACAGGCTTTCAACAATGGTGTATGATTAAAATGTTCGGCTATTGATGAACAAAAAAAAACAAAATTATGAAAAAATTAAAATTATTCAAAGATATTGATTTACCTTTAAACAAACCATCATCACCGACAACTTGTTTCAATTCTTCAGCCAAACGTTGTTGAATATTTGGATTTTTAGCCAAAAAATATAATGTAAAACCGGCTGTTATTGATGTTGTATCGATACCGGCAAAAATAAAATCCATAACTATACCGAATAAATCTTTACGGGTAATTTTTGGATCACGAATTAATTGTTCAAGAATAGTTTGTTCATATTTGTCATTTTCATCGTTGAATGATGATGATTCAACCGCATTAATTCGTTGATTAAGATATTTTTCTACAACACTTGCCATCAGATCTTGACCTTCAACTAAACATTCATAATCTTTTGTTGGTTTTTGTTCCCAACCATCATATAATTCTGTTCTCATTACAGCATATAATGTTTTATGACCACCATCAATCATTTTAGCACCATCTATATTATTACGATCTAAACAACCAACACGTGCATCTAACATTATTGAACAAATACTTTCTAATGACCAACGATAAAGAAATTGTTGAAAATCATCATTTAAATAATTATTTGATTTTTGTCGTTCATAACGTATCATTTTGATTAAATCATTAACAATTTCATTTAATTGTTGATCATAAACTTGAATGAAATTTGGACGAAGAAAATAATGTTTGAAAAGATCACGTAAACGTTTCCATTCATCACCATTTTCGGGAAATATTCCACCAGATTGATATTTATCCGGTCTTTCATGACGATATTTTATTAATGCACGATGACTACGACGATATGGATATTGTTGTTGTTGTTGAAACATTGATTCCATATGATCTGGATCAAATAAATGTAAAATTTTATGTTTTTCACTAATCTCTTCACGTACAATATGACCATAATGTTTTAAATTATAACAACCATTTTCATACATTCTTTCTAAACTATATTCACCAATTATTGGTAAATAACGCCATAAATTACCAATTATTGGTAATGGTTTTGGACCGGGTATTTCTTTAAATGATTTCACTGTTTCTAATACATTTTCGGTAAATGATGGTGATGATGATGAACTGCTGAAACGACGATATTTTTGAAAATTTTTTAAAGTTTTCATTTTTTCGTTCTCACAAAACAAAATCAAATGAATATATGATCCAAAAAAACGATCTTAACAAACGAATAAAAAACTTGTTGCGCACATTATTTGTATGTTGTTCATGATAAATCAAGCGACAGACAAAGAAACAAACAGAGAGAGAGAGAGAAACACGCAATATCACAGCAGTATGACAGCTATACCCCCCACTGGGTTAAATATCAGTGAAGAAGAAAAAAAAACATTGATGCTCACCGGTTCATTCTAGTGAATAACTGGTTAAGATATAGTTTACTTTATTTTATTCAATACTTTTTTTCGATAACAAAAATAAAGGCAATTAACCCTTCATTCTTCTTCATTTATTTATTTTGATTTTGATGGACGGTCTTTTTTTTCTGTATTGAAAAAAAGGAACAAGGTTAACAAAAAAAAAAAAAAATCAAATAAAAACTTACATTTGTATTAGTGGAAAGTATATCGATTTTGATATGTACTAAAATGGCAGCCATTTCTAATTCTTCCGAATATTCATTTTTAATACGTACACAACGATAACCTTGACGTATGGCCATTAATGGATATGTATTATGACCAATTTGTGTTGGTTCACCAAATACATCTTCATCACAAACAATAAAACGTATGAATGATAATTGTGGACAACGAACAGAAAATACAAATGATTGATTCCAATATGGATTTAGGCCATTATCATCTATTTCAATGAAAACAAAGAGAAAAATATAGATTTTTTAGTAATCGATACAATTACAATTCAAATTCAATACTAACTTATAGTGATTGTTTTACATTTAGCCGAATCATAATCAGTACCAATTATTTCAACTTCAATCAATGGACTAATAACACCACCACCACGACCACGAGATTTTTTTGTTAAATGTCTTGCACATATTATACGTACACTAATGATCCATGTATCGACAGATAATTTTGATAAACAATTTGGATCATATGGTGTAAATGTTGATTGAAACATAAATTCCGGTCGTAGAATATAACCACAACCACCATTCATTAATTGAAATTTTGCCTGATTTAATTGCATTGAACGATCAGGTGTTTGATAATTTAAAGCAGCTAATTGTATTGAACAATTCCATAATTTGATTGGATCATAATTTGATGAATCAATACGACTACCTTTTGGATAAACACGTGTAAATTGATTTTTATTATAAGCCAAAAGTGTTTTGCACATGTTCGGTGTTAACCATTTTTCAATTTTTGTTTCGGATAATGAACTCATTTCAGTATAATTACCAATACGTTCCGGTACAAATGGTACTGAACGACAATAAATTATTAAATCAGATAATTCATGTGCTAAACGAAAATTTTTTTCAATTACATAATCATTGGTAGATGATTTACGATTAGCAATAGAAATTTCTTGTAATTTTTTTATCCAATCATTCAATTCTTGTTCATTATCACTACCAATTTTCAATGATGATTCACAAAAATCGATTCGAAAATAATTTGAAACAGGAGATTCTTGTTGTTGTTGTTGTGATATGGATGTAATATTTGCTCCAATCAAATGGATTGATCCCTTGGTTATTGGTTGATAATTACCATTATCATCATTGATAGTTAATGATGTTGGTCGTTGATGATCAACCAAATTATTACATTGAACAATTTCTTGTACAAAATTTGCCGGAAACCAATGTTGTTTTTTACCACCATAATCACCACGCCACCAACCACTTTCATGTTTTAAAACATTAGTTATAATTGCATGTTTACAAAATGATAATTCATCAAAACGTTGTGCTTGATAATCATAAAGTGCTTTTACTATTAATGGTCGATTATTATTATTATTATGATTATTATTGATCAATTGATTATTATCATCATCAAATGATGGAATGGTTGTTTGGAATGTATCTAAATAACCGGTTTCTGTTTCACATGGTTCATGACCAATTTTCTTTACAATATCCGGATTTATTGCTTTTTTAAGCATAGTATTTTTATATAATGGTGTACGGTGATAATATGCAATCAAATGGCTAAGTGTTTCAAATTTTTTTCGATGAATAACAAATAAACGACCTTCACGTCGTATACGACAATGTTTAATTTTACCTTCAGCACGAAACGAAATGGAAAATGTTTTACCATCTTCTTGTTCACTACTACGACGTACCAAAAATGCACCATCAAACCATACACGTTGTAATAAATTTTCGGCATCAATTTTACAAATTTTTGGATTAAACCATTCTTTATCATCACAAGAAATAGATGGCGGTACTGGTTCCGATAAAAATACTGTCATTTCGGGTGATTTTAATGGATTTGATTGATAATAAGTAACTAAATAATAAAGTGTTTCAAACATAACCGTTTCGATTAGATAATATTTTACTTTTCCATATGCAAAACGTTTCTGTTTAATACGACAATGATGTACTTTACCATCATACAAAAATGATAGAGAATAATCACCAATAAATGTACTTGAATCACGAACTAAAAATAATCCATCAATTTTTGTTTGTATTGAATGAATTAATTGTTCAGCTTGTTGACGACCACCAGGTAAATGACCATGAAACCATGTTTCATCAAAATGTAATTCATCAACACTGGGTGATTTTAATTTAGCCACTGAAAGTTGTGCTAAATAACCATGATTATTTTGACCATCAAATGCAACTAGATAATCATAATGTTCATGATTCTTCCGTAATAATAATGGTTGTTCATCGTCATCATTATCATTCAAATTATCATCATCATCGCCAGAATTTAAATCGATCAAATTTCCCGTTGTAACATGATTAGTAATTGAATTTTCTTCAAAATAATGTAATACATTTGCCGGTGTAAGTATAAAATAAAATGGACGCCATTTTTTCAATCCATCATCCGGATTATCACATTCAATATAAAGTCTACCACTTTTGATTGAATTAGTTGGATCAAAATCGGTGGAAATGGTAGTTTCAATAGAATTCGTTGCTGTTGTCGTCGATGTTGAATCTAAATTTGTCGATGATTCGGGTAATTTTTTATGTTTAATTATAATTTTTCGTTTTAATTGATTTGGTGAAGGCATTTCACGACCATTTTTATCCAATGGTTCAGTAACAAGTTTATTACCAAATATTTCAAGAAAAATATTTGCCATATAACGCTGTTGTGGTAATGAACAATGATTTTCAATTGATAAAATTATTGGATATTCATTTGTAATGAATGCATGTTCATTGATTGTTTGAATAACATCAATAAAACGAATTTTTGATGTCAATGTATGACCATGATATATCACAGGTTTACCATCCGGTCCATCCCAACAATCAACTTTGAATTTTCAAAAAAATAATGAGAATTTCAATGTGAAAAAAAATGACAATTAAAAAAAAAGAAACTTACTTTCAATACAACGACAACCTATACGTAATGCACGTGCATAACAATCAATTGAACTTTCTGAACGAACTTGATCACCAGTCAAATAAGTATTATGTGATGAAGCAATCCAATAATGTGTTAATGGTTGATTCATATCATCGGTTATTATTGAATGTTTTTGTTGATCCCATAGTTCATTTGTTTTACAGAATAAAAAACTAATAAATTCTTGTGCATTTAAATATGGATTCTGTAAACGTAAATTATTATTATTTTCATAAAAATATGAACGTAACAGTGTTTTGATTAATCGATTATCATTATCATTGTTAACATCATCGTATGAATGTTGTTCTTCAATCAGAAAACGATAAAGATTATCAGCATTGATTTTTAACTGAATGTAATCGTCGTTTTTTGTCTTAACATCACCATCTTCTGGTTGCTCAAAATAATCGATAAATAATTCCGTTAAAATTCTTTCATCAAACAACAGACGTTCATAAAATGCTTGACGAAATTTTTGCCATGATAATGATCCTGAACGATTAATATCAAGTTCTAAAAAAAATTTCTTTAATTGTTGTGATGATATTTTATAACTATTTCGATGTAAAAATGATTTAAGATCTTTTATTTTGATTTCATCATATGATGTTTGATCATTAGTATCTGCAGTGTTGCTAATTTCTTTACGTAACCAAATATCCATTTGTTGTTCATGTGGTGCATTTAATGAATCATTGATTAAAAATCTTATACCACGAATCCATTGTTCACATTCGATGGATGATGCAGCAGCACATGTTAATGTTTTCAAATTAAAACCCGAACCATAATAAATGACAAAACATTGATTTCGTTCCCATTTTCGTACAATATCATTACTACCATTTGTTGTTGATGATGTTAAATCCAAAATTGATTGATCATTATTATCGAATATTTTGGCTAAACCTAAACGAATTTCTTTGATATCACGTAAATCTAAAATGCCACGAATCAATGATGATGGACCATTTTGATTGGATGATAATTCAAACCATAATAATTGTCGTGTATCTAATCGTAGACGAAAATATTTTCGTTCAATTTTTGGACATTTACGTTTAAAATGTGTTAATATTGTTCCTTGTTCTAAACGATGAATAATATGTTCTAATTCTTTATTAATATTTTTTCGATTATTATCAATTATCAAATCATCATTGATGGTCATCATTGGATTCATTTCCAATCGATTTGAATCTTTGGCTGTCATTTCTTTGATATGTCAGTGATATTCACAACAAACAAACAAAAAAAAATACTGAATTTACATTATTTCATTAAGGCACAGAAAAAATTCACAGATATGTTTGTCCAAAACAAAAAAAAAACAAATTAAAAAAAAATCGAATCCAAAATCCGAAACCAAAAATCAAGAAATAAACAAAACGGAACGTCTTTTATTTACGGTCATTCACTATCGCTGTTTCGGTCTGCTATAGCAATCCATCAATGGAAAAATGATAGTGGTAAACATTTTAGTTGAATGATGATGATGATCATCATCATTTAGGTGTTTATGGTGAGTCGTAAGAATTTTCATTTTTTTTTCGGAATTTTATTTATGATGATGATGATCAACACCGTTCAAAATTGCCAATTGACAAGGCAATGATTATCATTATTTTGTTTACCTGATCATTTTGACAAATGAAAACAAAAACAAAACAAAACAAAATTTGTCAATTTTTTTGTCGGCATCATTTTCAATCATCATCAGCATCATCAACATTGCCGATTAAATCGTTGAATCGTTTTTGTTGGGTAAGCTAAATTCTTGACCAATATTGGATTTAATCGTAAGCCTTTTCATTGATTTTTGTTTTTCTTTTTAAAAAAAACAATTTTATAGTATAGGCGTTTCTCTCTATATATTTGTTAAAATGATTTTTTGTTTTTGTTTCTACCTTTCTTTGTTTTTTATCTAGTGAAAATAATTTAATCGTTCGTTTTTAATTGCCGCCGCCACCGTCGTCATCATCATCAATCCATATTTTGTTATGCAAAGTTTATTTGAAGATTGACCATTCGAAGAATAACCGGATTTTTTTCCAAAAATTATAGAAATAATGAATGAAAATCCAAAACAACAACAACAACAACCATCATCACCACCGGCAACATTATATATTGTTGATGGAGAATCATCATCATCATCAACGATTAATAATAATAATAATAATAGACAATTAATGCATAATAATAAGAATGAAGAAACAACATTCAATCCATTATCATCATCATCTAATAATAATAATCAACTAAATAGACGAATTAATTCAAATTCCGTTAACATTCTTGATGGTGGTGATACTAGTGGTGGATATCAACAATTTGATCTATCAACAAATGATCATATACAAATTATTGATACAAAAGGTAAATTGATTTGATTCGATTCGATTTTTTTTTACATAATGAATGAATGAGTTAAAGTGACTGAATTTTACCTGTATGTGCGTATATGTTATATTTGAATTGATCATCTCATTCTCTATGTGTTTCGCCTTGTTGTATTGCATACCGAAAGAAGAGATCCCTGTTCTTCTTTTTTTTCTTGTCTGTTCCCATTCTAATCATCTTATATGCATCCATTCATTGCTCTTTTTAATATTTTTCGTTACCATTTTTTTCAAAAAAAGTGTTGTTTTTTAAAAATTTGAGCTCACACACGCCATACACAAACACAAACATAGACACACACTTATTGAGCAAATATTGTGATAAATTATCTCAAATGACCAAACAACTCCTATTTTTTGGATATTAATTCATTGTGTTTTTCAAAACTTTTTAAAAAAATGACAAATCCTAATCAAAATATTATCGATTATATGACAGAAACCGGTAATGTGATAAATAATGTGCCAAAAAATAATTTATTAATGGCCAATGAAGATGAAGATGAAGACGATGACGATGATGATGATATAATCTTTAATAATAATGGTCAAATAATATTTTCACATGAAAATGAATGTTTTCTAGTCCCAAATGCCAATACAACTAAAACAACAAAAATGATTCCCAATAATAATAATCATATTGTCGACGACGACGACGATAATAACCATTCATCATTGGTGAATCATCAATCATCACATTTATATCAAATCAATGATGATGATGATGATGGTGGCGCCGGCAATCATCATTTAAATTATTCAACTTATCAACATGGAAAAAAATTATTTAAACAATTTATTTCACCATCGGCTATAAATTTATCAACAATAACGTTACCATTTCAATCACCATTGAGTGGAGGAGATATGTTTGCAGGTGTGTGTGTGTCAGTGTGGTGTGCTTGTGGTTTATGGAAATTTTGTTTTTTCAGAAATTTTATGATCATATTTCTCATTGATTTTGTTTGTTTTTTGTTTTTTCCACTGTACAGATATTGATGAAAATGCTGCATCATGTCATTATGAAGATTTTCAAACAATCGATTGGCAACGTGATATTGCACGTGATCGTAATCGACATCGTTATATAATTCGTAGTAAAGATAATTCATATTGTTCTCTGTTGAAATCAACACATGATGCATGGGCTGGTTGGCTTTGTGTTTTGTTAGTTGGTATATTATCCGGTGTTGTTGCCGGTATTATTGATATTGGTGCCGGTTGGATGAAAGATCTTAAAGATGGTCTTTGTCCGGATGTTTTCTATCTAAATCGTGAACAATGTTGTTGGTCGGATAATAGCTCTGAATTTGAAGGTATTTTTCTTTTTTAGATGATTTCTCATTTTTTCATTACATTTTGTTTTCTCCCACTATGTAGATAGCATATGGAGCGGTCATTGTGATCAATGGAAAACATGGCCCGAATTATTAGGTCTAAGTCAACAACATTTTCCAATATTCAGTTATATTGTTTCGTATTTTTTCTACGTTTTTTGGGCATTATTTTTTGCATTTTTGGCTGCAAGTTTTGTACGAACATTTGCCCCTTATGCATGTGGTTCCGGTATACCGGAAATAAAAACAATATTATCTGGTTTTATTATTCATGGTTATCTTGGTAGTTGGACATTGACTGTTAAATCATTGGGTATGATGTTAACGGTTGCTGCTGGTTTATCATTGGGAAAAGAAGGACCACTTGTTCATTGTAGTTGTTGTATTGGTAATATAATATCAAGATTTTTTGATAAATATGGTCGAAATGAAGCAAAAAAGCGAGAAATACTTTCGGCTGCATCAGCTGCTGGTGTATCGGTAGCATTCGGTGCACCAATCGGTGGTGTATTATTTTCCCTTGAAGAAGTTAGCTATTATTTTCCATTGAAAACATTATGGCGAAGTTTTTTCTGTGCATTGATTGCCGCTTTTGTTTTACGTTTGATCAATCCTTTTCGTAAGTCATGAATTGTGCAATGTTTATACCGAATATTATCTATTCACTTTTTTTCCCGATGACAGGCAATGAACATTTGGTCATGTTTTATATTGATTATGCAAGGCCATGGATATTTTTCGAACTGATTGTATTTGTCATGTTAGGCGTAATTGGTGGTGTGATTGGCAACATATTTATTAAATCCAATTTAAGATGGTGTCAACGACGTAAAAATACACGTCTTGGACAATATCCAATGTGGGAAGTAATGACCGTTACATTGATTACGGCAATGTTTGCCTTTCCAAATCCTTATACACGTATGAATTCTTCAGATTTGATAAAATTATTATTCAGTTCATGTGGAATTGCTGATGAAACTCCTTTATGCGATTATTATCGTAATTATACTAATGTTAATCAACATGCCCAAATTGCCCAAGCTGGACCTGGTGTTTATACATCGGTAGCCCAATTGTTTGCCGCATTAATTTTCAAACTTATTATAACAATATTTACGTTCGGTATTAAAGTTCCAGCCGGTCTGTTTATTCCTTCATTAGCAATGGGTGCTATTATTGGTCGTATTGTTGGTATTACAATGGAACAGATTGCCTATAATTATCCTAAATGGTGGTTTTTTCAAGATGCTTGTTCAAATCTAGGTGAAAGTTGTATGAGTCCAGGTAAGATTAGATCTCTTTGATGTTGACATTGTAATGATTGATTAATTTGTTTTACCTTTTTCTCATCTGAATAGGTTTATATGCAGTAGTTGGTGCTGCTGCTGTTTTAGGTGGTGTAACAAGAATGACTGTTTCATTAGTGGTGATTATGTTTGAATTGACTGGAAATGTAGAATTTATTGTACCATTAATGGCAGCTATTATGACTGCAAAATGGGTTGGTGATGCATTAGGCAAACAAGGTGTTTATGATGCACATATCAGTTTGAATGGTTATCCATTTTTGGATAATAAAGAAGAATTTCCATATACAACAACAGCATTAGATTCAATGCGACCACAATTAGGTGATGCACCATTAGCCGTTTTGACTGAAGATTCTACAACTGTTGGTCAAATATATCAACTATTACGATCAAATAATCATACTGGCTTTCCTGTTGTATTATCCGAACAAAATCAATATTTAGTTGGTTTTGTTACACGTCATGATCTTAATCTTGCTTTAAATCAATCACGTAAAAATGATGAAGTTATGGAAGATTCTATTGTTTATTTTCGTAATTTTAGTGAAGATGAAGAATTACGTTTTAAACAATATCGTCATCATCATCATAATAATAATCGTTCTAATTCAATGCCATTAAATTTTCGACGAATACTTGATTTAGCACCAATGACTGTTACTGATCAAACACCAATGGAAACAATTATCGATATGTTTCGTAAACTTGGTTTACGACAAGTTTTGGTCACACATAATGGGTAAATTTTTCTTCTTTTAAATCTCATCATTGACTAACTGAATGTTTTTTCTTTCTTTATAGAAATCTATTGGGCATCATAACAAAAAAAGATATACTTTTACATATAAAAAAATGTGAAGAAATGCAAAAAGTTTCACAAATACCCACATCATCATCATCAAGATTTCCATCATTTCTAAGATGAAATCAATGTTTTTTTTCAAATTCTTCATTATTTTATCCTGTTATTTATTTGTTTGTTTGTTTGATGAACCCACACACATACTGATCATCGAGAAAAAAAGATTTTATTCAACAAAAGAAAGTTTTTATTTTCAAAAAATGGATTATATAAAAAAGCCATAGATATATTTAAAAAACATGTAAAAAAAAGTATTATTATACATAATGTTCAATGACCACAACAAAACATTGAACAGAATAATGATTGATCATCATTGTCATCATCATCATTTGGATTGTCATTACCATCTGATATAGCCATCATTGTTTTAATTGTTCCAGATTTAGTTGTCAATACTGTCATTGATGATTTTGGTGCCAATTTATTTGGACATTTTATCTGTCTATTATTCTCTTGATGATGATAATGATGATGGTAATGTTGATGGTGATCATTATATAGATAATCATCATCATTTTCTTCGTCCTCATCGTCAACGTCATCATCATCTTGAACGGTCGATTCATATCCACTTGATGCTGGCTGTCGTTGAACAATATGGACACCAACACTATTATCAACAACAACAACTGCACTACTGCTGTTATTATCACCAACAATACCATTAGATCCATAACTTGGTGTTGAAACGGATGATGTTTTTTTAGCAATTGATGAACATTCACCTTCACTAATTGTTCCATGTCCACTTGTTGTTGTTGATGTTGTATTTCGTTTCATTTTTTGTTCAAATTCATGTTTGTTCATTACTATTATCGGTTGTTTTTGTTGTGATGAATTAATGGAATTTTTACTTCCAGTTGGTGAACAGCTTGGTCGATGATTATTAGTAGCTTGGTCAGCATCTTTAGTTTTATTCGAACCATACGATTTCAATGATGATTTATGTTGTTGTAATGGTTGTTGTTGCTGCGTTTGTAATTTCATTTGTGATTCCAATTGACAATGACAATTTTCAAATGAACATTTCGATTCACATTTTGTCTGTGAATGATGATGATGATGATCTTTCGATAATGATGATACAGTTATTTTAGATAATTGTTGTAAAAATTGTTCCAATTTTAATTGTTTTGGTGGTTCGGCTATTCGATTAAACATTGTTGATAATGTTGTTGTCGTTGTTGATGATGCAGGTGGTGGTTGTGATAGTTCATTTGATTTTGGTATTGGATTTTTTCCATCATTATCACCAACATCTTTAAATTTACGATATGATTGTCTTTGTGATTTTTTTCGTGCATTTTTCGGACTTAATTTCCATAGATTATAATATTCATCATAGAAATCACTTTTTTTATCACCACAATCACTTAATGTATCACGACAAACCATCGGATCATCATCAACAACAATGTTTTGTTGTTGATTACATTGTGCAAAACAATTATCATCTAAACATTTGAATCCCTAAGATAAGAATTGAGAAAAAGAATCAATCAAAATTCAATATTCATCATCATAATTATCGTTACTTACCAAATCAAGCATACGATTAGTTGAATCAATAAATTCATCGATCGATATGTTTGTTGTATTATTATTGTTACGATGATGATAAGTTGTTGAAATCCATTGTTCAATACGATGTTTTTTCTTTTCATTTAAACTATGTAAACATTGTTGATTTGTTGTTGTTGTCGTTGTTTGACCCATGGTTGAATTTTCATTTATATTTGGTCCATCAATCCAAAGTTCTTCACTCCATATTGAATCATCATTCGATTCATTCAATAATAATGAACGTTTTCGTTGTCGAATACGTTTGGCTAATTGTTTTCGATGATTATGATGATTATTATCTTTTCCATCATTTCTTTTCAATTGTTTATTCAATGATTCATGGCTACTGTTTGAATTTTTTGCCAATTTCGAACGTTTTGATTGTGATTGATTATGTCGATGATGATGACGATGATGATGATTTTCATAACAACAACAATCACAGTTTGTTTTTCGACATTTATTCATCTGTTCATTTAAATTACCGGCAGAACATTTTTGATTATTATTTTCTATACCACTACCATCATCATCGTGACTAATGTTGATTAATGTTGATTGTATAGGATGATGATGATGATTACGAGAAATGACTGTATCGAATGATAATTCGGATGATGATCCATAATTTTGATTCGGTTGTTGACAACTATCGACATCTTTTGGATTTTTAACTAAATTTAAAAAAAATAAATTATCATTTAAAGCGGGTAAAATGATCATCAACTTACCATGATTGTTTGATTGACGTAAACATGATTTACATGATGATTGTTGTTGTTGTTGTCGATGATGATGATGTTTATCATTTTTAAATTGTTTTAATGGCCATTTTTTCATCAATGAAATCAACTGACAACGTTCCAATATTGTTTCTGGTCGATGTAAATGTGGTTTTAAATTTGCCAATATTGTTAAACTTGTTTCTGGTTGTTGTTGATCATTATTCGATAATGCTTTGATCAATAGATTGGCCATTTTTGATTTACTAAATGCAAAACAAAACATCATTTTCATAATCAAACTAACTAATTAACTAATCAAAGAATTTACCTGAATGATGTTAAATTATCATGTTTAAATAATCTGGTCATTATCTGATATAATTGTGATGTTGATGATGATGATGATGATGATAAAGGTATATCGATCAGATAAAGTTTACTATGATTTTCAATTGCTAAATCAATGGAAAATGAAAAAGAAAATGAAAAAAGCATTTGCAATTAGTCAGATTCTCCTTTTTACACTTTTGTTGTTCACACAATCCATATTAATCAACTTGTTTTCACTTGTTAATTTCGATTTTGTTTATTGGGAATTCCTTTGGGTTTTTTCTTCTTCTTTTTGCTTCAAATTATTATTCTTCACCGTGTGTGTGTGTGTGTGCAGTTGACTGATATAAAATGAAATTATCGAAAAGCGTGTCTGTGTGTGTGTTTGTGAAAAACATGTAACCAAACAAACAAACAATTCGAATAAAGATGTAATGATGACAACGAACAACAACAACAACGAACATCTAATCAAACTCAATCAATCAATCAATCAATCGATGAATTCAAGTAATATGAATCTTTTTGAATGCGAGAAAAAAAGAAGCTACCAATAATATCGATATATGTTTGTCTATAATTAAAACTAATTCAATTATATTTCTATTCATGTCATTTTGTATTAGTCGAATTTTTTTTTGTTTGGGCATCTTTATTTTCGCAAAATAATACATGGTTCGATGACATTGCAATCAAATTCACTATAGCATCACTTCTGTTTTCTGTTTTTCGGTTGTTCATTGTGTGTAAATATATATTTATTGTTTACAAGCTTATCCTTGGAGAGATAAATCCAACAACCGAAAAAAATTAGTTTGAAAGGACGTTGACCACCACCACGTTTGGTCAGCTTTTTTGGGTAAGCAGAATCCAAGAATGACCGTAGTTCTTTATCCCCCCCAAAAAAATGCAAAAAAAATAGAGATTTCCCCTTGCTAACGTTTCTTAATTGCTTTTAGCTTCTTTTTTTTCTCACTTAATACATCTTCCATAATACAATTTCCCTGTTTTAAATCCTAAATAGTCCAAAAAAAATAAGTAAAGTAAAGTATAGAGGGGAAATAATCTATCATCGATTAAGAAAGAAGCGAAAAAAAAGTTACACAAAGTGAAACACGTTTCACCCAGAATCGAGCAAGATTCCACAAACACATATATATAAAAACGTGACAGAATTGACACCCTAGAAAAAAAACATCCATAACGAATGAACGGAATTCTTTCTTTTTCTCTATGTTCACCAAATACAATGTGTGTCTCCATTCATTCATTCATTCAGCAGGAAAAAAAAGAGATAAAAAACGATTTAAGGAAAAAAATATTCAAAGATTTTTTTTGTTGTCCATCCAAAGATGATGATAATGATAATGACCACATAATCATTGAAGAAGATATACACTGATGAATGGAATTTCTTTTAAAAAGTAAAAAGAAGAAGAAATGGCATTTTACTTAAGAAAAAAAAATTGGTAATTTACTTTTCAATGATTATTGTGGAAATGGAAATGGAAGTGGAAAAAAAAACATTATGGGCCATTTGAACATTCAGCATCAGTCAGTTGGCGAAGAAAAATCAAGTTTTTTCATGTTCTCGATTCTGTATCGGAAATTATTGTTTGAAAATTTCGATTCGAAATGGATCGATTTTTTTTTCGTTTTTTACTTTTCTCTATGATTAGGTGGAATGAAAGAATCCGGATCACCACTATGATTATTACTGCGACTATTGGAAAACAAAAAACTTCTTATCTTTTTTGTTTTTGCTTTTGTTTTCCACTTGGCGTATGATATGCTATACGGTCTAAACGAATTTTTATTACCGATTCTAATTTGAAACTCGTGTCGTTCGTTTTCGTTCTGGTTTCAGTTTTTTTCACCAACTAAAGAAGATCGTCTCTTTTTGGAGGCCAATTGGTTTAATGGGAGAAAATCTGGCATCTTTTCTTTTCAACCCAAACAAGCAAACAACCAAAAAAAAACCATATGCCACCCAAAAATATATATCATGGCCAACTGAAACAGAAAAAAAAGTGTGTAGAAAAAAAATTGAACTAATTTATCTCTCTCTTCTCGGCAATGTTCAGAACCAGAAAACGACCCTTTCTTTCTTCGACCTAATACTGAGTGTTGTTTGTTGTTGTTGTTGTTTGTTGAATGACAATGAAAAATATATTTTTCAATCAATGGGTTGGCGTCATCAAGAAACAACAACAAAGCTGTAGCAAAAAAAAAATTATTTACATCCTTTCATTGATGACGAAACATTAAATCAAAGACTTTACCAGAAAATCCAAATGATGATGATGATTCGGGCGTCAATGAACTCATTATATTGATTACCATTATTATTATTTTATACGGGAACAATCCCTCTGTATTAAACCAATCATGTCACAAATGTATTTCATGTTGATCAAAAATATAGCCAACAAAAAAAAAAGGAAAAAAAGACATTCTATAAAGTAAAGTAAAGAATCTCTAAGAATTGATGCGGAGGCTGCTGCTGCTGGTGGTGTTATCGTTATAGAATATTCTGGGGTTTATATTCTGCGTGTGTATAACGTGCCAAATGATTATTATGATGCTACACGCTTTTTTTCAACCGTTTGAATTAATTGATTCAATTAATTGGTGATGATGGCTAGTGTTTGATGAAATTATTGTTGTTGTTGTTGTTGAAAATGGAAAGTTACTAAAATCGATTCCAATTTCATTTCATATAAACAAAAACATCACATCTTGAATGTTGTTTTCGATTGGAAAAGGGATAATAATAATAACACTGAGTGAACGAACGAGGAACACATTTTCGAAATTTCGATTTGCTATTATTTTCTTTTTTTTCTGTTTAATTTAATTTTAGCCTTGTCACATTCATTTAAGGCGAAAAATACTTTTTTTTTGCCAATCGGCGTTAATGATGATAATTTTTATTTGCAAAATCTTCACCCAAGCAATTGTTTTTTTTCGCAAATAAAAATAAATAAATAATGTACATTGATTTACACCAGTGTTAGTTTTCTTCTTTAGTTTTCTTAAATAAAAATAATCTAATCCACTATAGGAAATAAAATAAAAATAACACTCAACTATCCTTAATGGTAATTCTGATGATAGTTTTGTTGTTTTGGGTACGTGTTGCCCATTAATATCTTTTTGACTAACGAGGAAAAAAGTAAAAAAGAATTACTGTTACGAACCTTGACATTTTTTATTCGTATTCAACAATGGAATCAATTGAAAACGATATAAATGTATAGTTAAAACGAATAAATATTCATTTTTTTGTTTATTTGTTGTTGAATGAATTTGTTCCAATAGATTGAATGCATGTTCTAAATGACTGACTGCATGTCGAGCATCGTTACATTCATATTCAATTTCTTGATCAACGGCGACCAATGTTGATTGTGATGATGATGATGAAGATGATCGATTAGCAATCAAATCATAAATTTTATGATGAAACAATATTGAAGCTGATAATTGAATATAGGCACGATTAGTATTAGGATTCAAACATTCGTCATTATCATCGCTATTATGATGATGATGATTGATAGCATCAAATAACCATGCAATCGAATGAATCATTAAACCACGATGAACAAATTGTTGAAATTCATTGATTAAATTGGTTGGTTTTTGTTGATTTATATTCGATATACAACAATCATCATTATTATTGTTGTTGATAATCATCAATGGATCAATCAAATCATCAATAGTAATAATCACAGCATTATTTAAATGTCCATATGCTAATAATTGTATTGGTTCGGTTAATATTGTTATCGGTATTGATAAAAGTTTTTCCGGTAATGAACCAATAAATATATGATCATATGGTATTAATTTTATTGATTGATTTGATGATTGATTCGTTTGATTTTGCTGCTTTTGCTGTATAATGGATAAACATTTATGTTCAGAATCCAATTGAAACCAATCGGGTAATTTATTTGAACGTAAATCTAAATTATAACCAATGCGAACAGTTTTTCGATGTGATTGATTGATGTTTGTTGATAATGATGACGAAGGTAAACCTGATTGAAACCTTGGTAATGTTTCAAAAAATTTTATCAATTTTGAATTATTATTTGAATTTGTTTCACGTTTAATTTGTGCATATATAATTGGATCATCTTCAAATTCATCAGTTGTATCCATTGTTGATCTGCAAAATGAAAAATAAAATGAAAAAAAAACAAACTTTTATTTTTTTTCTATTTCAAACAATCATCATCATCATCAATAATAATAATTTATTGATTCAATGATGATTATAACAAAGAAAGAAATGAAAAATGAATGAATGAACCACTTATTATTTGGCCCAAAAGAAAATGAAATGAGTGAAGGTAATCATTATCATCATTATCATCATCAGATCATATCAGATAAGATAATCAAATGGAAAACAATAGCCTTATGATGTACGTGAATAAAATTTTAATTACCTTTTTACGAATCAGTGATATAGTGTGAGTGGAAAAGGAAAAGAATTTCATTTATGATTCGATTTTTTTTTTGGCTATTTCTTTTCTTTTTCTCTCTCACACTCTTTATGTGATGAAAATGTATAAGTAATATATGCTCTTCATATCAACACCATTCAATTCATCATAATCATTATAATGTGTTAAAAGAATTATCATCAGTATCATTGCAACCCAAAAATAAAGACAAAAGTTCATTTCATCACCCCTGCAAAAAAAGATGATGAACAAAAGTAATAATTCTTTCTTTTCTTTTTTCTCTTCGCCTTTTTTCAATGCGAATGAATGATATAACAGAATAACAAGGATTACAACAATATAGTTGGCGAAAAAAAAAGAAAAAGAAAATTTCAATCTCGAAAATGTTACATGTAAATTCATTTTCATCACCATTTTTACCATTGGTTAACCACATGCATCTTATTTGTTTGTTTTTTTATGTAAAGTTTCCAAAAAAAAATCATGTCATGTCATTCATAACTCATCGATTGAAGCAAAAAAAAAAACATTAAGAAAATCCATTTTCATTGAAAAACAAAAAGTGTAAAAGGTTTTTCTTTTTCATTCTGTCTGTCAGTCAGTCAACATTCATTTCATTTCATTTTCTTAAAAAAAAAATAAAATAAATTCGACCGATGACAAATGTATTTGTCGTAGTCGAAAGATAATGATTTATTCTATGACCCAAATATCCCAATGCATATTGTCTTTTCTTGCCATATATGACTATAGTGAACAAAACAAAAAATGTCCCGTATGAATTCAAAATTATTTTTCATTATTCATTTCCAGTGATCATCATCGTCATCGTACACACATACATTTTTTTCCATTTGATCCAGGCGAAATTCATAAGGATTCATTCATTCTTGTGTCTTTTTTGCTTTTTTCTTTTTTCCGAATTTCGACTTGATTACGAATCAAATAAGAAAACGAGAAAGAGAAATAGAAAAGCCAATACACCAAAGGGAATATATCATTGAATGACAAGAGTGAATTAGGCCAGAATTTCAATTCTGTGTTTGCCTGGTTTCTGGTTAGCTATTTTGGTTATTAAACATCCCTTTTTTTTCTAAGGATTTCTGTTTCGGAAGAAAACAAAAAAAAAAGAATTATGATTTATGCAATAAATTCTGGCGCTGCTTACATACATAACACCTCGACAACAACAACACTGGAAAACCACAGTTTTTTTGGTTTTTCGCATTTCCATTTTCATCATCATTTTTCAGTTGTTGTTGTTGTTCGGTAAACGAAACAAAAAAAACTATAAATTTTCAACATTTTGAAATAAAGATGGCATTTCATTATCCAAAAAAAAATGTTTTTTGTTTTGTTTTTTCAAAAACAAAAAACCAAATTTCCAAATTCCCAACAGCCAATAGGGATTTTTCATCATCATAACTTTCATCACTTTTGGATTCACAAAATTCATATTTTTTCCTGGTTTGCCATTGCCTTTTTCCCGATCGATTATGGTTGGTTGTGATTTGTGTGTGTGTGTACAATTGTGTATTGCAGAAAAAATTCATCAACAAATCCTTGTCCATTTCCATTTTTTTCTTTCTTTCCTTCCTTTGAATTACAATTCAAGTGAAACAAGGGAAAAATAATAATTTGTTTTCTCATTCCCGAACGAACGAACGAAAGATAGATAGAAAGAAATTGATTCACTGATCATTGAATTGGAAATTATTAGATTTTTTTTTCTCTCTATCTCCATATTTTCCATAATATCTCTCTCTTCATTTCTCTCCATACTTAAAGTGGTTCGTGTCCAAGAAAAGTTGTTGTTGTTGTTGGCTATGTCTCTTGATAGCGGTTTCTTTCTTTCTGGTCATATGGATCAATTAATTTTCTTATAAGAATCTAAACAGAGAAAGAAAATAATAAGAAAAGAATCTTCTTCTTTTGCTTCTTATTGAAAAACAAATCATTTTGATTCAAAAATCCACTGGAGAATTGTTTGTTTATTTTGATTTTGATTTCAATTTCTCTTTTTTCCCGCAAACATATAACTCTTTTTTTTGTCCATAAAAACAAACTGAATAATAATGAAAAAATTATCGTGACATTTGTGACAGTTTTTTGACAATACACATTCCCATTGGAAAATATTATTCGTTTTCACTCCAAGACAAACACTAGGGTCGATTGAATTTTTGAATTGCAATGAAAAACATTTCTTTATCAATGAAAATTTAATTTTAAAATTGAATTTTTTTCTTTTTTTTGGAGAAAAAAAAACAGAAAGAAAAAAACATAGAATATGGATAGAGTTTAGTTATTCAAAATCGAAAATGATTCGCATCATTATCTCGTATTTTTACGGGTTATTTTTTTTCCCCCATTTAAAATGTACGAGAAAATCAAAATAAAAACATAACCAAACGAACAAAAACAAAACAAACTGATCCAGATCATTGAACAAATAGCGATTCATTTGAATTGGGTTTTTTATTTTTGTTTGTTTGTTTGGGTTATTTAGAAAAAAGGAAACGGAAAATGTAGCAATAAGTTTTGATTATAACCGGCTAACAAAGTTTCCCAATCGAATTGATGATGATATCAATATCAATCCGGATGAAAAAAAAAGATTATTATGGACAAAGTTTTGTTTTTGGCCATCATTTTTTCTCTCTTTCACATATATCACGGTAGCATATACAAAAAATCTAATCAAATAAAATATTAGCAAACATCACCCAAAACATCAAACGTTTGCAACCAAAAAAAAAAAAAAAAAAAAAAAAAAAAAAAAAAAAAAAAATGAATACTAATAAACATAACATATATTTAATGTTCAAGTTGGTGCCCATTCATTCATTGATNCCCCAAAAAAAAAAAAGTTTGCAAAAAAAAAAAAAAAAAAAAAAAAAAAAAAAAAAAATGAATACTAATAAACATAACATATATTTAATGTTCAAGTTGGTGCCCATTCATTCATTGATTCAGTGGCCAAAACGAGAAAAGCTGAAGAAAAAATCTATTAGAATTCAGTGATGCCAACAACATCGACAACGACAACATTGATTGGAAATGGGAAATTTATGGGATAGATATTATTATTTTTTGCTTGGGTCCATAATAAATAATAATGACCCTTGGTATCTCCATTTTTTTTTTTTTTTTTTTTTTTTTTTGGTATTGGATTTGAGTGAATACTGAATACTGAATACTGAATGTGTATTGCAAAATATTTTTTTCTGGATCTTTTTTTTTCGCCAAAAATCGGATCAAATTCATTTCAACATACACAGCATGTGTCGCCGTCATGCACGCTCGGGCGTCATAATTTTTCCTGATTTTTTTTTTTTTTTTTGAATCCTGTTCACTCAATAGTAGAGAACATTCTTAAATCAGATTTACGTCAAAACCAAAACTCACAGTAATGCTAATGTGGAAATAGATTTTTTTTTTTTGGTTTTGGTTTTTTTTCGGGCACTTTAGAGGTCCAAACAAGGATTTGGCGTCAATTAAAAAATTGAAAATAAATTGAGAGAGGAAAAGAAGCTAACCGAATTTGGATTTTCGCAAGAAGAATTTCAGGTGAATTTCTTTTTTCGGGTGTAATCCTGGAAAATTAAGCTCCCAAAATGAACAGTGAAAAAAATGAATGAAAAATGAAAAGTTTTCTGCTGCATCTTTATTCACCAAAATAAAAAAAGTTTAAATTTGTTTGAAAAATTTCATAAAAACGAACAAACAAAAACTTTTTTTTTGCACAAACATTATTAAGAAATCAATTCAATCCGCGGATGACGATTGCAGTTTTTGTTTTGTTTTGTTTTGTTTGTGGTTACGATTTCAGTTACAGTTTTTCATTCATTCAAATGAAATTAATCATATAACCAAGCAGTGTAAGTCAAGGAAAGCAAATCAAACAACAATAAAAAACCAAAACAAACAGGATTGCCCTATGGCCAAACATCATCATCAGCGTTTTCCGTATCCGGTTGAACCAGAAAAAAATGATGCTGATGATATTCAATTATGAAAAGTCAGAAAAAAGTTTTTTCGAAGCAAAAAAAAAGGCCAAATTGCAAATGCCAAACAACGAAAACAAAATTAAACTATTTTACATAAATGTTACATTTATGCAGCAAGCAGAAAATACAAAATACATTGCAGTAAAAGTCCCTGTTGACTTTGTTTTTACTCGATTCAATTCAATTTTCATTCATTCATTTGGGTGTCATAAATAATGATGTTCCTCGTGTTGATGATGATGATGATAGCCACATTTGATAATGATATCAATATGTCAATGGCAGGTCGCGTGTCGTTTGATTATCTGTTTAGTGTGTGTTATAGTGTGTTTGTTTAGTAGTCAACAATAACAACAACAACAAAAAAACACTGGACACTTATATTGACATATCACTTACTTGCTTACTTACTTAATTTTATTTTTTTCAAACCACTATCAAAATGATGGCCATTATCATGATCATCATCATCGTTGGTTTGAACATCTTTGCATATCAAACAACAACAACAAAGTCAGTGCAAACAAGCAAGCAAGTGAAAAAAAAACTTAATGAGATTCTGTGTGTTCAGGTTATATGAATGGATGCAGGCAGCCAGCCAGCCACCACAGAATAAAATAAAAAACCAAACCAAAACAAACTAAACGATCAATCCATTCAACGGATGATGATGATGATGATGATGATCT